AATATGCCTCACCTGTCTAGCGTCGAGGCTAATATGTATTTGCCATTAGGCGAGAACTTTACAAAAGATACAGGAGGATTGTCGTCATCTAAAAAAATTAAAAATAGGAAAACCTCTTCCAACTCAAGATCCAAAAAACGTTTACAAGAGAGGAGGAAAAATGAACAAAACCCAGAGTTAGATTTTGCACAAGTAGCATCGGTGTATACGTGAACTTAAAAGGCAAAGGAACAAATAATAAACAGCAAAAAAGTTTGAATTTAAAATATTGAAAATAATTACCTACTAACGTTTTGACACACTGACCATTCGCTGTGTCCCAAATACGAACTAAACCATCGTAGCTACTAGAACATATCAGAGTACCGTCCCTTAAAAATTTTGTTTTATGCCCTTCTTAAACCAAATGAACTTCTTAAAACAAATCATTTGATATTTCCACATAATTTTTTTCCCTACAAGTACAACTAATAAATAAAGAAGACCAGAAAGTTAACTAAAACGATCCATATATGCATCGTTTTTTCAAACAAAACAGACAATACAAGTGAAAAAACCTGTTAAAGCAAACTCCAGAAATTGGATCAGAGTGAGCGGGCAGTGTTTTAATGCATGTTCCGGTTTTGACATCCCATATACGAACACTTTCATCAAAAGAACCAGAAACAATCAGAGAAGATGGGGGATTGAAATTGCAACAAAAAACATAGTTTGAATGTCCTTTAAGGGTTTTCAAACATTTGCTCTAAAACTATTGCAGAGATGCATTGAAAAAAAAAAAACGCTCAACGAATAGACGCATAATGATGAAAAATGAGGTAATAAATATCAAAAAACGTTACCGTCGCAACATCCCAAACTTTTAGCGTTTTATCGTCCGAGCACGAAACAATTAGTCGACTGTCCGAAGACCACGCTATATCTGAGATCCCAAGTTTGTGGCCAGATATTGATTTTTCAATCTTCCCATCTTCTGTGTTCCATAGCTTTATAGTTTTGTCAGCGCTTGCTGTCGCCAGCATCAAACCATCTGCACTGAATTTGACTGATGATACTGATTTAGTATGGCCCAACAATGTGAATTTCAAGTCGTAATTCGGGATCTAAAAACTTCGTCCTGTATCGTTAAAGGAAGGAAATAAAAGTGAAGTAAACATTGAAAACTAACCATTTTAAGTAAAAGGAATGTGAAAAGATTTTTACAACGTCCGCGGTTCCAAAAACATAAGAGTGCTCAAGCAAAAACAAGTAGCTGGAAATGCACAAAAAGAACAACAAAATTTTTCAAGAACATTAAACCTCTATAACTTATTTCGCTAGTGATACAAAAAAGGTAAAAGAATACAGGAAATCAAAAGAACAACTAACGGCTTGAGCTGGCACATTACTGACAGAAGCTGAATTGCTCTGCGCTTGCGAAGTGCTTGCAGAGTTCTGAGTAGTACTATCGTTATGCTGCGACCCGCCGGGTTGATTAGTATCCATAGGCTTCAACATGAAGTTTAACATATGAAATCGGGAACCGATTCCACAAATCAATTTTCAGTTTCAAAAAAATTTGTAATAAAAATATAGGACAGAAGTAAAGTCAAACACACTTCAGCTCGTTGCTCATTCACCGTACTTTCAATAGTGCTACTGGGATTTTGGAAAACTCCAGCATTCATCTAGGTCTGAAATATTTTCTAGTCACCTTTTGAACTCCCTATGTTAAACAGCTGATTAAAGTCGTAGGAAATATTTGCTTAAACATTCATAAACATCAAACAATATTCATCAAACTTAATTATAATTCCATATTAACTAGTAAAGAAAAGTTGACAAGTAACCGCAAAAACCAATAATTTTCAAAAAAATTACAAAATACAAAAAGTACTTTTCTTTCCATAATTTATTTGGAAAATACTTAAAAAAAGGAGGATCAATTTCAAAAATATTCAGTAAACATCCAATGCTACTCCAGAAAGCACTCAGGTAAAATTCCAAACGCCAGAATGCCTCTTTTTGCTGGGTCGACAACAGTTTAAAGTGAAACAAGCTGAACAAAATGAAATTTACAATAAAAGCACAAATTTTAAAAAATTACAGTTTTTAGCCAAGTTCTAATAGTACGCTAATTCCACTTTTACATTTCATGTCAGTGAAACGTCCAGGTTCTCGTCTAGCCAATTTATTTAACTTCAGACAATATTTGGCAGGAAAAAAAGCATCTAAGACACGACATTTTTTGCATCAAATGTTGGCAGAAAAACATTAGAAGTTCATAATCATTGTTCCAAACCTTATTAGGTAACAGAAGTACAAAAAAAGAATGATATCTACCACTCGAAAAGTTGGAAAGCGGTGGGTAAAACCCAGAATTAAAAAAAGGCTATAGTTTAACATCTCACTAGCTGCCCTATAGTTTCTTTGTGTTTACTCTGTACAACAAATTCCCGCTTCAATATTAAAATTCGTACCACCGCCAACAATGTGTTTGGCAAATTTCCAACCCACTTCGTCCAATTCTAATGACCTCCAACCACCCTTTGGTATCCATATCGTTCAGATTATTGATGTAACCTACGTTGAGAATCCATTTGCGAGCTTCCAAGCGCAGAAACTACTGCACAGTTCTGTTGCTCTAAAAGACTTACGGCCTGGTTTTGTGGTGCGGTCCCTGTTACACACAAATGCATTAGAAAACTTCAAACATAAAAGAAAGGAAGCTTAAAATTTAATAGAATAAGAAGCACTTCTAGTTATAATTTCGTGACTTTTAACGTTGACATTACCGCCATAAATTAAAGCAGAACTCTGAATAAAAACCTCAAACACACACTTTACCTTACAAGATCTGTTCAAAAGCAAGTCTTACTTTAAAACTGCATTCTTTCATCACTGTCATTCATGACCGCAATTTTACAAAGCTTTTAAATTAATATGTAGAAGAAACACACTAGTAACTTAAGAAGCAACACCGAAAAGTTGCTTACAAGAAGAGAATTCCCAACCTTAGTTACAAAAGCCTATGTTAGAACATTCCTGCCACTGCGAGCAATCTTTGCACTTTCACAAAAAGCAGTGCAGTAGTTTAAGTTCATTTATTAACCAAAGCTCAATATAAAAAAAAACTAAATTTTCAAGAGAACTTAGAAATAAAAAAAATAAACCTTTACGAGCTATTGGCAATCAAAATATACAATATTTAAGATGTGTTCAAACGCAACAGTCCTTACAGACGTAATCCAGAATGACACAAGAAAAAAGAGATAAAATTCGGTTATGGAAAAAGCCCTTTTGGCGTTTTGCCACTGCAACGATGAAATTAATCGTCGCGTTACGACTTTTTAACCTGATTTTCCCATTCAGATCATTTTGATGAGATTCGGAATCTCAGGAGATTTTTTCGCCCCCGTGTAATTTAGTTTATTAATCTGCATCATTCTACCCCACTGATTTCTTTTATTTTCTCGTGTAATTTAGAGGTGTATGTATATAATTCTGAACCCAAAGAACCTCTGCTGTTACTTTTTGAACCCTTCCCATAGAATTTAAGAATCAAAGTGATATTGAACTATGACATCGAACAAAGCGGAAACCCCGCAATCGGAAGATACAACTCAATCAAAAGAATCTCTGACAAAGAATTATGGAACTGCTGCGGCTTATGCTGAAGAAGTTAGAAAATGGATGGTAGCAACGAGTTGTTGGAATCTTTGCCACCAGGTTTTGATTTTTTTCCGGTTATTCAATCTAGTTTTTTCTTTGGATCAGTTACTCTTAATTTTGTTTTTTGAAGAACAACTCTAGCTAAAGTCATTGTTTGATTTGCTTGGAACAGTTTGCTGGTTTTCCTGGACTGGAAAGCATTTTTTTTATTCTTGTCCACTAGTAAGTGAAATTTTTAGATGGCAGTGATGCATTCATATGCATATTTGATGTCATGCTTAAATCAGCAGTCTGGTCAGCTGCCTAACTTGACACAGGCCGGCCAGAATCAGCAGTCAGCTAGTATGGCACAACCGAACCTGATCAGCCAGCGCTGCGCGATACCATCTTTCGCAAGACGTATTGTTGCGGAACTCATAGATTCTATATTTGCTTTTTCCGTGAAGCTTCTGTTTGTGTACTGCCTTGTCGAACTTGGTATTATGTAAGCTGTCGTAAATAACAGTAATTTATAATTATTCTCGTATTTAACCTGGTTTCATGAATGTTATTTAGTGAAGCAAATTGAAAAAAAGTTTTGTTAGGTAAGCCGTATTATTTTTTCAGAAATCTTGAGAAGTACGATAAGTTGCTGAAAGATGATGCAGATCTGCAATCCCTTGTTGATGTAACTCAAGAGCTATTTCCAATTGAGATTCTTGGGAAAGTTCTGATAAGCTTTATTGAAGTAATGTTTAGTAGTTGGCCTCCTACTATTAAGAAAGCATTCCTCAACAAAGCTAATTTTCTGATTTTCAGGCGTTGTTTATAACTTATGGATGGGGATCAGTACCAGCTGGTTCTACTCCTGGAAAGGCAATTATGGCAATACAAGTAATATCCTGTCAGAATGTTACACCCATTCCCGGAACGACCGAAGTCACTGTAGTCAGAGAAAGAAATATTTGCTTTAAGAAGTGACTTTTTTTTTGCAGCATCAAGGATTTAAAATTTTGTTGAACTACCCCTTCATATTTCCCAGCGCCCTTTCCATCATTTGTTTTTTAGCTCTCTACTACGGTCGCTTCTGAAGAATTTGTTGGTAAGCTTACTATTCCCTCTCAGTGCTGTTGCGTATGCATTCCAGTATAATCGAGCTGTATATGATCTTGCGGCAAAGACGATTGTTGTGTTTGCGTAAATTTTTTTTGCATTGGGGACTCTATTTTTTGTTCTTCATAGTACGGGTACCTTTAGTCCTTCATTTCATCTTGTTTTACTCAAGCAACACGATAAGATAATTTATTACAGTACGGATTGTCTTGGTGGTAAAAAGATGTCATTGGCAATAAACCTTTCGGTGATTTAGTATTAGTGCTGCATCTGAAGAACAGGATAAGTGGGACTCGGAAAATGTACAAACACTGATAAAACTGCACTTTGGAATTGATCTTCCCGTAAATTAAATAATAAATAACTGAAGTTCTGAAAAATTAAGTATTATTCATAGGAGATCCCGAACGACGCCGCATAGGTTTGCTGGAAATTGCAGTCCTTTTAGTATGCAACCATATACAACAAGACTGACTGAAAGGTTTAACGTGCTGGCTGTGATGGCGGAGTTTGTGTTATTATCTGTTTTTGATTATAAACCTCTCTGGCAACTTTTCTTTGAAGTCTTCCAAGTCGGTCATGAAGGTTCTGCAGCATTGTGCCAACAGTAACAATCCTCTTTTTCGAGTCATCTAATTTCCTTACATAAACGTCGAGGTCGAAAGGGGCTTGCCTTTTAGTTGATATTCCTTTGAGGTCTGAAAATTACTCTTGCAGAAACCCGATGTTATTTTGAAAAAAAGCTTATTTTCAAAAACATAATTCGAACCTCTGCTCTTATGTCAACTTATACAGTGTAGCAAAACGTCTTCACTATCATAGAATCATTATAGCACATTATGAGTCCTGGGATAGGAAGAACTACGCCTCGTTTTAAAGCTAAGATTAAAGTTTAGAACATTTCCAGATCAAGCCAAAATTTAAATTTTGCGCGTGGCTCTTAAAGCAAACGTGCGGGGAATTGTTGCTGAAATTCTAGTTACTATTGTATATCCGAGATATTAGTAAATGATTTCATAACCAGCAAAAATTTCTACAAAAACTTGTTTCCCAGAACAAAAATACTCTTAAAAATACAAAGACGATGTACCTAATTTACATGGTCGAGTTATATCCAATAACTGCCTTCAGACTTTACAATATTATATATCAACGTTTCCGACATCAATTTAAAATGTGAATCTGATAAGAGTTTGTAGTATTGGAGCAGTCTCTAGCTGGGGTCTACCTTACGCCGCTTATTAATTTCAAGACTGATCAGACTACGTGAAATTAAACGGGCCCATCTCTTACAAGCAAAAAAAAAATTCATATTCAGAATTCCCTGCTAAATCAGCTAAATACAACTTACAATCTGCTAACGTCTTGATGCTTTCGTACAGGGTATACTGACTAGACCTAGTGGCCAATATTTGAGCGTCAAGACGCTCAATTGCAGGTTTCATAATATCCATTAAACCTTCGCTCATTTCTGTACCTCCAGCTGTGTGCGAAGGGCTAGATTCCAATGACAGTGACATTTGCTGCAAAAAGTATGTTTTGGGCAGAATAAATTTTACTCAAATCATGAACGCATAAATTTGAAAAAATGTAAGAAGTTATCAGAAGAAAATAAAAATGCAGGATAAAACTAAAGTTTTAGAGCTATAAAAATGCCACAACTTTGTCAGCGAATCTTAAAAATTTAATTGCTTTCAAGTTTTTTGGCAAGCTGACATACACATTCTGAATCATCACTTGTTCCAGGGAATCAATAAAAGAATGATTATCAGAGATGCTTATCAAAAATTTCAGTACAATTCCGCTTGTCTAAAATACAGTGTCAACGAAATCGGATCAAAATTAAGAATATTTATGATAAACTTCAATGCCTTTTCTCTCTGATTCTCTCTTACTTTAGGTACTACTTTTTTCTAAACATCACAGCCTCATGTCCTCGCGCCAATTATTCTACCTATTTGGCAAAGAGGCGATTGTAAAATTCTGTTTAGGAAAGAAGATATGTTTGCAAAAAGAATGAGTAACAATGGCTCACAGGAATTACATAATAACTGTACATTAAGTTACCCATAGATTGCGAACAGAAGCCCAAAGACAAGAAACAGAGGGTAATCGATCACAATTGAACAGTTACGAAGAACCAGCAGACTTCAAGAGCCACAAAACCCCAGGTATAAATATCCTTTAGATAACACGTGTACTAAACGTGGCAAAAAACGAAAAAGCTAAACAAGCTCTTTAGAATTCTGCTTCATAGAGTTCGAGCAAGAGGGATTTAAAAGTCCTCTTTTTAACGGCAGCGCCTAAAGTAAGGAACGTTGAAATAACATCTTTTGATCTCCAAAAAAAAAACTAAAGATTTGCCAGTGAATATATTTGTCTGTCTCTTTCCACAGACTACTACCGGTCAAAAAGTTCAGAATAGACAGACTATAATTCAAAAGAGCAAAAAAGGGCGATAACCAAATTAGAAGCCGTTCCCCGATAAGCTACAGAAAAGCAGTCAAGCACTTGAAAAGATATTTCAATTTACTTTAGACAGATAAAAAGATGGCTTCAATAATCGGTGAGTACGTTCTACGGCGGTTACATCAGCATTCCTCGTACATTCTTTTCTGCAGTAAACAAAGATGTCAGGACGATTAGTCTAACTTAAACTGCAGTGGAATGTGTCCGTCTTTCCACCTGTTAGATTTCAATATAACGAAGCCAAAAAAGCAGCAAGAAATAAAAATACTAGAACAAACCCATCTTACAAGCTACCTCAAAGAAAGAAATCCAAGAACTGTATAAAGCAATAGTACCAAAAGGTCTAAGCAGGATCAGCGAAGAACCGGGAAATAACGAGGCAACCAATTGTCAGTTCCTCCACTCAAAAAGAAGTGTGTGCAACTTCTCATTTGGCGAATTGCCATCTTAACTTCAATCAAAAAGTTTTGAAGCCTTAAATTCCAGAGCGATTAGTTCATAGAGCGTGTGGTATGGTAACTTTCAAAAGTTCGGTCAAATGCGACAGTACGGTGGATTTTGTCTGAAACTGAAGTAAACTTTTTTCTTCATGATTTCTTCCGGGTGAAAACAGGGCCGGGAACTAAAAGATGAAGTAGTGTAGTTGTTATGAAATTTCATCCTTCGGTTCTTTCAATTTTTCAAAGGAATACCAAAGTGGTAGCAAAGGTTAACGCTGAAGATCACTATTTCAGTTCCCACATCACTAAGATTCATTATTCTTGCCAAAAAAATTTTTAGATGATGTTTGAGAAGTTTGAGAAGACGATTCGATGAAAACATGTTAATATATTCCGTTTGTTTTCAATCCACCAAATTAGTTATTCCAAAACCTTTTTTAAAGCTAAAAGCCAAGGAAATAGTCAACTATAAAATTGTTGTGTACAGAGCATAAGCTCTGCATCTTTTGGATTAGGCGGTGGTTTATTACAACAAATCAATGCACTTTACTAGCAAACCCTTAGAGCTTGGCTCAGCATGAATATTATACTTTTACTGTTATGGAAGATTATCGATAGGCAGGTATTTTATTGGATTATATGTTTTATTTGAGAAAAAAAGTAAACAAAAGAGACACTATAGTTTTATTTTTAGTAACCCAATGGAGAGGAGCATAGCTGAACATTTTTGCT